TCGTTAAGGTTTTTCGTTTTAAGGTGATAGAGAGTAATGATCTACGAGGAGAGTGAGAAGTGAGAAATATCTTTTGATAGCTTAAGGTGATCAGGTTGATTAGTGTCAGATTATTGGTTACAGGAGTGCCTGGTTTGTTTCTGTACCTCTTAATTTTATATTGAGTAGTGTGTTGATGAAAATGTCAGAGCTGCTATATGGCTACTTTTAGGAGTCTTCTTAGCCCTATTAGAGGTTTCTATGCCAGTAGTAAATATAGAGAACTTCTAGTACCTTTCATTTCTATTTTGTTTTGTAAAATGTTGGCCTGAGATGAATTTAAATGGGGAACATTGTCAGTGACGATTCACATAGCCAACCCCTACTGGTTTCGAACTGAGGTGTAGTAGTTGTTGTTGCTGCTATATGGCTACTTTCTAAATACTTCACATGTATTACCACTAGTTTAAGGATGTATTTTTACAAGTCTTTGTGGTTTCCTCTAACAAGTCATTTCAGCAAAACCCCACTGCTGTTTATACATGGAAGCTGCTTGGATCATCGAACTACCGCATACTGATTTTCTTTATGATGTTGACTGGGGAAATGGTTTTGTTTCTTAATAGTTTCTCTTCCAATTGTAGGATGACCACAAAGGTTTGGAAGGAGCTGCAGCCAATCAAGATGCAAAAGATTCTCCCATTGTCATCAAGAGAGACCTTGGAAACAGCCTGAATAGTAAAGGTTCGTCAGCTGTAGCATCAAAGAAGAAAAATAGGAAAGGTGGACTTTCCATGTTTCTAAGTGGTGCTCTTGATGATGTTCCCAAAGCTGTAGTTCCACCACCAGTTGTGCAAAAAAGTGAAGGCCCTGCTTGGGGTGGTGCTAAGGTTACGAAAACCTCTGCATCCCTTCGAGAAATACAGGATGAGCAAAGCAAAGTAATAGATACAAAGCCCTTGAAGCCCAGGGACCTGGTAGAAGATCCCTCTGGTGATAGTAGTGGTGGTAAATTACGGTTGAGTTCATTTTTACAGTCGAATCCGATACCCATGTCACGTACAGCACCTGTCTCTGATGTGGAAAAGAACACCCCTCCTTGGGCTGCCTCCGGTACGCCTCCTCTTTTACGTCCATCTCTCAGGGACATCCAACTGCAGCAGGTTGGTTATTCTCTACCCTGCCTTGCCTCCTTGTGCCAAATCTAGACTGTCATGGGTTCACAAAAAGAAAATTTGCCCTTCTGAACATTCATTTTGTTTGTTTGCGTGCTTGGTCCATTGTGCTGTCTGTTTATCTATACAGTTAACAAAGGCCCAACAGTTTAGAGTAACTACTCTCAGCTGGAAATTGTTCGTGTTCCTAATAGGAATGCTAAAATCCTTGTCCTAAGTTTTGTGTCCACTTTTGTCTCTACAATACCTTCTATCGCTCCACCTTTTAGCCTATAATCTCTCGATGTTTGTTCAGAATTTCACTTGATTTGAGGTTTAGAACCCATGTTTAAGTTAACTATTAAAAGATTTCATAGGAATATGCACATGCAGTCACACTTTCTTGCTAATTATAAGTTTAAGCTTGCTGGTCAATGTATACAGTATACTGCATTTGATTTCAGAATCCTCCAATCCGGCATGTCTTTTGTTCCTGACACAAGACTATATTGACTTTTATCTGCTGAATATTTTGCTGTAGGTAAAGCAACCGTTGGCCCTCTCTCATAGCCCAAAGACGAGAACTACTGGCTTCTCAGTGATGACGGGTCAAGGCTCACCATCAGAATCTAGTTGTCCGAGTCGCTGGTTCAAACCAGAAGTTGAAACACCTTCATCTATCCGTTCAATACAGATAGAGGAGAGGGCTATCAAGGACCTAAAACGGTTTTATAGCAATGTTAGGGTAGTTAAAAACCAGTCCTAATACTGTTTGGCATTCTTCATGTAATGCCTAATCAGAACAAGTTTCTAAGAATGCCAAGACAGTTTGGCATTCTATCTATAATTCCTACTCTGCTCTCTTTGTTCCGCTCGGCTAAGCTTTGCCCGTAAATAGGTGTACATTATGCCCTAAGTTGTTAGTGTTTGGAAGATTAGGTTTCTTGTTATTTCTCTTCTTTTGGGTTAATTGGAACTCTAGCTGATTTTGGTTGGCTGGTGTTCTGTTCACCCCATTTTGAATAAGGAGCCAATAAAGGGCAGTGTAAATATATGTATTTGTCCATGTCTTTATCTTGGATAAGTAGAAAAAGTTATTGGTCAATTATCATTTTTTTTTTGTCCCAATTATTTTGGGTATGGGGTCTAGGGGTAGGGGAAGAACTTGACAGGATGAATGTCGCACCTCTTGGATGAGATGTACCAGGTTTACTGGTCTAGCTGATTTTATTGCCTTTTTCTTGTTGGGTTAAAACAAGCTGCCTTTACTTCACAGTTGAGTTATTTTATGGAGACATGTTGGACAGTGTACATTTCAAATGGTAGACGCCTAAAACTTGCACTGTTGATTCCAGAATTCACGTGCTTCAAATGCTCAGTTCAATTTCAGAATTACGTTTGAAGTGGTCGATTGTAATATGCGATACTATGACTTTTTGCCTGCTTCAAGTTTATGAGGGAGTAACACAAGTAATTCACTTAAAAGTAACAGGCCTGGCCGGAGTCACACACGGCTTAGAGTGGAACGTCTATGCCAAATTTCTTTGGTCCGTAGTGGACTGGATAATCTATTTTCCTAATTACATATTCAATAAAAACCTTATTGAACACACCCTCTGCCACGCTGAAAAATCCTTATTAATTAAGAAAAATTGCTTTTCTACTAGCTCTGAAAGTTTGAGAAGATATCGAATCTTTATATTTTGGCTTGACGTGGATACAATAATTCCTACTAGATGTAAAGATCTGATGATAATAGCTGATGCAAGCTGCTTTCCGAATTGATGGCATAAGCAGTAGCACATTGGTATACTAACTATTTTATGTAGGTATCTTTCAGACTTCTCAATTTCATTCTTGAAATGTCGAAGAAAACCACAATTTGATCCCAATTTGATCTGGGAATTGAATGCCGTATATATACTACAAGTCTAAGCACAGACGCGGATCTAGAATTTTAAGTTTATGGGTTCCTATAACAATCTCAAGTTAATCTACATGATAACTGGACCAACGAACTGGGTTCCAAACTAAATATTCTTATACTTTTAATGATTTTTTTTAGTACAAATACTAGGTCTATGCAAATATTACTGGGTTCACAGGAACCCGTAATGTTTGCTCTAGATCCGCCTGTCTTGGGATACAGGTGCTGCGGTATACCCTATCTCAATGAATTCATAATTTTAAAAAATAATATATATATATATATATATATATATATATATATATATTGTATTTGAGTTACACAATAAAAGTTTTAAAAAGTGTAAGTTTCGAAAAATATGATTGTTGACCCCATTTAATAAACTCAATTCTCTATTCCACATAAATCCTTAATCATTTCATTTCACTCATAAAAGACAATCTTGTTTTGTTCTCACAAACAAAATACAATTGTTCTATTATTTTTAAACAACAAGAAGTACCATATGAATTATTTCTAACAAATTAGAAAGAATAAATCACTATCTCAAAAGTATTATTCAGCCATTTCTACGCGTTGGAGTGAACTTTCTTTCTCTATCCAATTACATAACTATGCATCCGAATAATTCATAAAAATGAAAGTAAGCGTATAAGAATACAATGAAATTACTGATAATTAGTAAATTCTAAGAGGAGTATGTTAATCTATGAACAAAACTATTTTATGTTTAAAAATCCTTAAATTCATAGCCTTACAAGTTACTCCTCTGAACTTGGCCATTTTGATAGTTGTTACCTCTTCGATGTTGATGTGACAAAGAACATTGATACATTCTTTTAGGCGCGTAGGAGTGAAGAAAAATAAAAAAAATTAACTTCGGAATGAGATATTTTTCAATCGTTAGTTGTCACATTTTATTTGTTAAAATTATATATTTTCTTCTTGATTCATCTTTAGTATACAATACATACTTACCCAAGTTTATATTTTTAATTTCTTTTAGATATACTACCTATTTGATCCAATTGTGTATTTTTCTTTCGGGCCAAATTTTGTATTAAAAGATTAGCTGAAACTCCATTATTTTACCAAATAAAAAAGTTTTAGCTAAAATCATGGAGTACCAACTATTAATTTCTTGTTATTTTCCCTTAGATGGAAATGACTATTTATTTTAATTATATATTTTTATTTTCGGGTTAAATCAATAAAACAAACTTTGCTAAAGCTTCATTATTTATTTTGCCTTATAAAAAAGGTTAGCCAAAATAATGGAGTCGCCATTATGTAGTTTTTTTATTGCTCTTTCGATACAATGACTATTTATTTCAATAATGTAGTTTTTTGCTGGGCAAATCTATAAATGTACTTGCTTAGAGCTCTATTATTTTTAGTCAAATAATTTTTTTTAACCAAAATAATTAAATTCAAACTATGTATTTAGTTTATATCTTTTTAGATGCAATAATTATTATTTCAACCATATGTCTTATTTTTGAGGTCAACTTTTAAACTAATACTTCATTATTTTTAGCCAAATAAAAAAATATAGCGTAAATAATGGAGCTCTATAACTTATTGACAAATTTGACTAGAAAAAGATGACCTAAAAATTAATGAATTTATAATACAGATCTTTTATTTTTTAAAATGCCACGTCGACAAAAAAAAAATTCACGATGCTGGCGAGTATATGCCACTTCTCTGGGATGCGATCGTCCCGGGGTAATAGCTATCAAATACCCTATGCAAAGGGATAACTAAGACTACAAATATTAGAATTGCAATTAATAATTTGTGCTAAACTTAGGGGGTCATTTTTAATATTACGCCTTTGTTCTTAACTCTCACGGATATAATGCTTTATCTTTTTGTGTGTCTTATACCCAGCTTCCATATTGATTGGGACTTTTTAAAGTCTGATTTGGTTCCCAAAAAAAAAAAAAAATTAGAAAATAAAATTTATCTTAAGAAATTCATACAAATATGCTAAAAGAATAAGATATTGTAGTCTCGAACAACAAATTTGTTATTTGCTATCATTATGTAGCTCAAACCCAATATTGCCAGCTAACCTATAGCAGGACAAACCTGGACAAATCAAAAATTGAAATTTCACTAAACCTTACAAATATAGATATTGTCATAATATAAAAGTATTAGAAACGCAATGAAAAAATGTAAACTATTGGTATTTCCAATGTTTTTCTTCTTCTGGGAGATAAGTGAGTCTTTCTCTTGATTACCAAGTTAAATGAACATGATATCGTCGCACATTAATAAAATTATGCAAATATTTTAGTTGATCTCAATACTGAAAGGTAATGTGCTGGAAAAGCTATTCGAATCCTAACCGGACTAATCAGAAGATTCTTTTTTAATCTTACTTTACGGATTGATCAAATTATAATAATTTTGTACAATTTAAATAACGAAATAATTTATACAAATAAATCCTACTCAGTTTTAGATTTCTAAATATTATGAATTCATACATAGTTCAATAAGAAAAGATTTAATAACAAAAACTTACTAATTTCAAAATGGGAAAATTTCACATAAGAACCCTACTTTTCAATTTTATAGCCCACATTTCAATTTACAACCAATTAGCCCAAAAATAATAGGCTAAGATTCAACATCCAACTCCAATAGGTTCTCGAAATTACTATTTAATTTTTAAAAAAGATTGCTCAAGCTTTTAAGTTAATTTTCGAACAGTAACTGTAACTCAAATATTAGTTCAACAAACCAAATCCATTTGGGTGGTAAAAATTAGATTTTTAACAAATTTAAATATGTGGGTTTAAATTTCGAATTTGATTTTGTGAGAAATTTGGAGTGGGTATTATTTAGACTTGTTAGAAATAGTATAAGGAGGTTGTATATAAAATTTGAAGTCATTTAATGGAGATTTGGTCTGATTTTGAACAAGAATTGCAACTGAAAATCGTGGAAGAAGTTCGTCTACGAACGCCTATATAAAGGTGTATAAAAGTGTATAATAGTGTATAAGATGTGTTTATACACTCATATACACTATTATACAAGATTATACATACTTATACAAAAAACTGACTTCGTCTTCTTCCTTGCGTCTTTTCTGAAATTTAACTCAAATCTTGCTCAAATCTACTCCAAATCACTTCAAATTTAAATTTTGAACTCATTTTGATATTTTCAATCAGTTGGAACAACACCCAATCCAAACAACTAACAAACTCAAAAAATTCTATTTTCGAAAGCAAAGCTTTGAATGGCCTTCAATGGTGGACTTCTACTCTTCAATTTTCTTACATTGCAACATGTTGACATGTTGTGTGGATTGATTGTTGTTGTGCGGAGTATAAGGGTGACATTTCAATGTTGTTGATTGTATGGAGCAATACGGGTGGCTATTGTAATATTGTCAAAGCGGAGTGACACATGTGGCTATTATGATATTATTAGGGCGGAGTGACATGGGTGGCTATTGTGACTTTGTCGGGGCAGAGTGATACGTATGGCTATTATGATATTGTCAGGGCGGAGTGACATGTTGGTTATTGTGTTATTGTCAGAGCGGAGCGATACGGGTAGCTATTGTGTTATTGTCAGGGCGGAGTGATATGAGTGACTATTGTGACTTTATCGAGGCGGAGTGATACGAGTGGCTATTGTTGTTGTGATAAAAATGTGGGCACAAGGTGCTATTTGTGTGAGTTTCTCTGTGATGACTTGTTAAAACCAAGCCTTTACTTGTATTGAACTGTTATCACTTATTTTGATGAAGTTATTGTTATCGATTTTCTGCTATGCTTTTGTTGCTAGTCTTTGATCTATTGCACTGATTATTTTGACTAGTGAGTATCACATGACTTGAGCCTCGTCACTACTTCACCGAGGTTAGTCTTGATACTTACTGGGTACCAACCGTAGTGTACTCATACTACACTTCTGCACATTTTTGTGCAGATCCAAGTGTTGGAGGTAGCAGACCCAAGCAGTGAGAGCTTCTTTGATCGCGATGATTCAAGGTAGAGTTGCTTTGATTGTCACAGCCCCTTAGAGTCCTTTCTTATATTTATACTGTCAATTCACTATGCGAACGGTATTGCATTTTGAGATATTTCTATGTATTCAGTTAGAGCTCGTGACTCGGTACTACCTAGTTCTGGGGATATGTTTGTGGTTATCGCCGGTTTGGCTTGTATTACCTTTATTTCCGCAGTTATGATAAACTCTGTTTCATTATACCATGTCTTTATTGATTTAACTGTTGTAAATGATCGGCCTACTAGTTATAGAGACTAGGTGCCATCACGACCCCTATGGTGCGATTTGGGTCGTGACAAGCATCCTCAATGTAGGTATATGCAAACTATTACACAGTTATGTGATTAATATGCAATTAGTCCTAGTCCCACATGAAATATGAGTATGATAATATTTTGTATATTTTGCGTTCTCTCCTTTTTCCTTGGTGTTGTGCAAAATCCAACACCACTACAACGCTCCCGGGGCAGAGGCGACCAATTCCCAGAAAACCTTGCCGGCAAAACCTAGCCACGCGCCTCAACGCGCCAGCCTGAATATTTGACGCTGGCGACGCGTCAGATCCACCCGCCGACGCCTGACCCTTTTTATGGTCGTTTTTTCCCACAATATTTCTTCAGGATAGCTTGTTCCCCCTTCAATTCCGAGCCTACCCATCCAATTTAAACTAAATTCCGACCACTTTTCTATTTTTTTGCCGATTGTATTTCCAGATTTTGATGATTTCCAGATTCCGGCATTTTCTCTTCACTTTTCTGGTGAGATTATTGATGTTCGTACTTGTCTTTGGTACAACCATGTCTCTCAGATTTAATGTATTTGGTTCTAAAAATACGGGTTCTGAAAATTCAAGCTTCATGATTACTTCATAGCCCTTAATGGGAAGTTCAAACTATTTAGCTTAGGTTTCTTCTTTTGGATTGCGGTGCAAGGGACAAGGTGTTTAAGATCACTAAACCAAAAAGACTAACGAGGGAGATGAAAAGGCCAAATCACTTTGGGAAAAGATCAATGCTCAATTATATAGTATCTTGTGGTGCTCTATTGATCCCAAGCTGATGCCCTTGTTTCGTTCCAGACATGTCATTTAGTTTGAAGAAAATGCTCGCACTTTTTACAGTAATAACATATCTCGTTTCTATGATGTGATATCGCAAATGACAAATTTGAAGAACCAAGAATTGACTTGGGACAAGTACAAGCAATCATGGAGGAATTTGAGAAGTTGATATCAGTTTCTGCTAGTATTGAAAAGCAACAAGAGCAATGATAGAAGTTGTTTCTAGTTCTTACACTTGCTGGACATCCTAATGACCTTGATTCACGTGAACAAATTTTGGCTAGTCCGGCTGTCCCTACAGTTGATGAATTATTCTCTCTGTTGAAATGTGTGACTATCTCATCTAAAAGAGCTTAAGCTGTTAGAGAGAACACATTTTTATTTACTTAATTATGTTTTCAACACGCCCCCTCACGTGCGCGCTTGATTTTTTTTATGAGCCAAGCACGGGAAAAATTATTTTTGATATTAGGTGATGGTGAGACTCGAACTCAGGACCTCTGCCTGCTCTAATACCATGTTGAAATGTGTGACCATCTCATCTAAGAGCTTAAGCTGTTAGAGAGAACACACTTTTATTTACTTAATTATGTCTTCAACATTACTTCGTCTTGCTGCAGCACATAGTGTCATCACAGACAATTGATTATTCTGTTCTCACATCCCAAATAGTGGAAAATCGGGCATCTCAAACTATTGAGAATAGACGAGGAGGAGGTCGTTTTGGAAGATCTCGACCCAAGTGTTCTTATTGTAATAAACTTGGACACACTCGTGAAGTGTGTTATTCTTAACATGGTCGACCACCCAGAAATGCTCATGTTGCTCACACCAAGACTACAGTTAACCAATGATTTACTTTATTTGAAGGGGAATATAATGAGTTCCTTCAATATCAAGCAAGTAAGTAGAAATCTCCACAAATAGCCTCGGTTGCTGAGATACTTCTGTTGTTGGTAATTCTTTTGCTTGTGTTTCCAATCTAGTACTCTTGGATCGTGGGTCATAGATTCAAGCGCTTCTGATCATATCTCTGGTAATAAATCACTTTTGTCGAATATTATGTATTCACAGTCTCTTCTCGCGGTTACTTTAGCCAATAGGTTCCAGACTAATGCAAAAGGAGTTGGACAAGTTAATCCCCTATCTTCTGTCACTCTAGATTTCGTTCTTTATGTCCCTGGTTGTCCTTTTAGCCTGACATCTGTTAGTCATTTGATTAGTGCCCTCCATTGTGGTATATATTTTATTAATGATTCTTTTATTATGTAGAACCGCAGTACGGGATAGATGATTGGCACAACGCATGAATCACAAGGCCTTTACTATCTTAATTCACTCAATCAATCTATAACATGTCCAGTTATAGATCCTCCGGACCTAGTTCACAGACGTTTAGGATATCCGAGTTTATCCAAGCTTTAGAAAATGGTGCCTAGTTTGTCTAGTTTGTCTACATTAGATTGTGAGTCGTGTCAGGTTGAAAAACATACCCGAACCACGTTTCTACATAGCATTGAGAGTTATGCAGAGTCTAATTTCTCTTTAGTTCATTCTGATATATAAGGCCCTAGTAGAGTCAGTTCAACCTTGGGATTTCGTTATTTTGTTAGTTTCATTGATGATTATTCAAGATGTACTTGGCTTTTCTTAATGAAAGATCATTCTGAGTTAATTTCTATATTCCATAGTTTTTGAGCTGAAATAAAAATTAATTTAGAGTTTCTATTCGCATTTTTCGCAGTGATAATGCCTAAGAATATTTATCCTCTCAGTCTCAGCAGTTTATGACTTCTCAAAGAATTATTCATCAGTCATCATGTCATCATACCCCTCATCAGAATGGGGTTGCAGAGAGAATGAATATGCATCTCATTGAGACTGCTCGTACACTTCTCATTGAGTCTCATGTTCCGTTACGTTTTTTGGGTGATGCAATTCTCACAGCTTTTTATTTGATTAATCGAATGCCTTCATCTCCCATCCAGGATTAGATTTCACATTCAGTATTATTTCCCCAGTCACCCTTATACTCTCTTCTCCCTCGTATTTTTGGGCGCATATGTTTTGTTCATAACTTAGCCCCTGGGAAAGATAAGTTAGCTCATCGTAATCTCAAGTGTCTTCCTTAGTTATTCTCGTGTTCAAAAGGAATATCTTTGCTACTCACCTGATCTTCGTAGGTACCTCATGTCAGCTGATATTACATTTTTTGAGTCTAGACCTACTTTACCGCTTCTGGCCAAAGGTCTTACCTATACCGACTTTTGAGGAGATTACTATAGCTACGCCTACAGTCTCAGCCATAGAAGTCTTACCCATACCAATCATTGAAGAATCTAGTGTTGCTCCTCCTAGATTCCCGGCCACAAGAACACCACTCTTGACTTATCATCGTTGTTAGCGCCCACCATCGGTCCCAACTGATTCACGTCCTGCACCTGACCCCTGCTCCTACTGCGGACTTGTTTCCTCCTAGTCCACCGATTGCACTTTGGAAAGGTATACGGTCCACACTTAATCCTAATCCCCATTATGCCGGTTTAAGTTATCATTGTCTGTCATCACCCCATTACGCGTATGTATCATTTTTGTCCTATGTTTCCATCCCTAAGTCTACAAGTGAAGAACTGTCTCATCCAGGATGACGACAAGCTATGATATACGAGATGTCTGCCTTACATACATTGGTTACTTGGGAGCTTGTTCCTCTTCTTTAAGGTAAATCTATTATTGGTTGTCGCTGGGTGTATGTAGTTAAAGTTAGTCCAGATGGCCAAGTTGATTGACTTAAGGCTCGTTTTCTTGCCAAAGGGTATAGTCAAATATTTGGGCTCGATTACAATGATACTTTCTCTCCCGTGGCTAATATAACATTAGTCCACATTTTTCTATCCATGGTTGTTCACCATTAGCCTCTCTATTAGTTGGACATTAAGAATGCTTTTCTTCACGGTGACCTTGAGGATGAAATTTATATGAAGCAACTACCTGATTTTGTTGCTCAATGGGAGTGCAGTGGCCTTGTATGTTGGTTGCGCCGGTCACTCTATGGTTTAAAGCAGTCTCCTTGAACATGGCATAAGTTCAACACAATTATTTAGGAGTTTGGCATGAATCATAGTGAAACAAATAACTCCGTGTTTTATCAGCATTATGTTGAGGATATTGTTATTACCAACAATGATCAGGATGGTATTACTATGTTGAAGCAACATCTCTTTAAACACTTTTAGACCAAGGATCTGGGTAGATTAAAGTATTTTCTAGGTATTGATATTGCTCAATCTAGCTCAGGTATTGTGATCTCACAAAGGAAGTATGCCTCAGACATTCTTGAGGAGACATGAATGACAGGCTGTAGACCCGTTGACACTCCTATGGATCCGAATTCTAAACTTTTGTCAGGACAGAGTGAGTCTCTTAGCGATCCTGCAAAATATAGGAGGCTGGTTGGTAAATTAAATTACCTCACAATGACTAGATCTGACATTTCCTTTCACGTTAGTGTTGTGAGTCAGTTTATGGATTCTCCTTGTGATAGTCATTAAGATGCAGTTGTCCGCAATCTTCAGTATATAAAATAAGCTCCAGACAAAGGATTATTGTTTGAGGATCGATGACATTAGCAAATCGTTGGATACTCAGATCCTGATTGGGCATGATGACCTTCTAATAGACGTTCTACATCTAGATATTGCGTTTTAGTATGAGGTAATTTGATATCTTGGAAGAGCAAGAAACATAATGTAGTTGCTCGATCTAGTGCAGAAGCAGAATATCAAGCAATGGCTATGACAACATGTGAGCTAGTTTGGATCAAACAGTTGCCCAAGGAGTTGAAATTTGTGATAATTAAGCTGGCGTTCATATTGCATCAAATCAGGTATTCCATGAGAGACCTAAACACATTGAGATTGACTATCACTTCGTTATACTCTCAGGAGATATTGCTACAAAGTTTATGAAGTCGAATGATCAGCTTGCAGATATTTTCACCAAGTCTCTCACTAGTCCTCATATTAGTTACATATGTAACAAGCTCGGCACATATGATTTGTATGCATCGACTTGAAAGGGAGTGTTAGATAGTTATGTAATTAATATGTAATTAGTCCTAGTCCCACATGGAATAAGAGTAGGATATGTATTGTTTATAGTTATAAATATGGCTCATTGTATTATAATTAATTAATCAATAATAATATTTCCTGTGCTAATTCTCACATGAACTGCGTTTGATGTTTATGTTCCTATGAAGGTTCTATATTTTTGAGACCAATAGAGATTTGAATAGTATGAATTTGGGTGTGACGTCTTAAAGTTCAATATTGCCTACAATTCAATGTAGATTCTGGGGATGGTGTCCATGGAGAATTTGTATGTCCATGAACTAAATATTACCCTCTTATTAAATGTAGAATCAACAAATAATTTAGTTTTGCAAAGGTAATAATTACAATTTTGTATAAGGTAAATTAAAGTTAATAATTTAGTGTCATAAATATTAGGATTTTCTACGGAGTTCAAATAAGGAAGATTTAATAACCAAAATTTTAGTTGATTTGAAAGTCTTAAATATTAGGAAATTAAGTGAATGACATTTTTGTCCAATATGAAATTTATTTTTAAAGGGTAAAAAAGGCAAACGACATTTTGCTAAGAACTTTTAATATAGATATAGATAGATATAGATATAGATATAGAAAGATATAGAAAACTGGGAAAAACCTGAAGATATCTAGCTAGATTTCATCAAGATTCTGATGTTCTGATCCCTCTTCCAAACAATCTCCAAAATGAGGAACTCTGTCATGTCTTAACCTGTTCATCACGGCGAGACCTGAACCAAAACAGAAGGCAAATTTCATCATGCTAAACTTTGATTTAGTTTTGGTCTTTTCGGAGCCACCAGTTAATGAGAATAAACACCAAATGCAGTTGGAGCAGTAATCAAGTATGATGTCTAATGTTCTTATGTTATGTACTTTCGACCTGTCTCCAAATGGAGGGACGAAGACTTGTGATTAATGGAATACTAAATGAGTGGTTACTAAAGAAGATTGGAAACATGAAATTTGAAATAAAAGATTTGTGGAGTATTACATAACCAGTTGCACTCAGGTAATACCATAGGGGAATAGGCATATCATCAGTCAATCTTGAAACTACATTGCTAACGTGGACAGAATTAGCCTAGCTGCACATTGATTTTTTTGGAAAAGCATATGAGGGTGCACAACAAAGACGAGCAGTAACTTCAATTGAGGGTGTGGAATCATGATCTTGCATTTCTCTATCACTCCAATTGACGGTGTGCAATCATGATCTTGCATTTCTGTATCACTCCAATTGACGGTGTGCAATCATGATCTTGCATTTCTGTATCACTCCAATTGAGGGTATGGTATGCATGCCCAGCAAGATTAGCGGTAACCACGATCTTGCATTTGCTTTTCGTTTTCCAAGTGTCAAAATTCTTTTGTAATAGAAGGTTGTATCTCAGAAATAGAAAACCTCATCTCAAGTCACACATGGTTTCTTACAATTACTGGCTAGGGGCTCATTATGTTTTTGCAAAATGTGAGGAACCTACTAAGTTAGGAGCAATATGGTGAAAAAGGGGAAAATAAGAAGTGTAGAAGCAAAAGAAAACTCGTACCTTCAATAACACTAAGGAAAGATGACCACCATCTTTCTCTAGGCACCTTAGAGCAACTTAGTTTCTCTTCAATAACTTCATCATGGTTGCCCTCCAAAACATCCTTCAGAGTTACAACCGCGTCCTTTGCTGCACGCAGAATGTTGTTTTGATCTTGACATTCCGTCACTTGAAAATCGTTCAGTGAAGCTGAAATATTTGTAGCAAGAGCATACTGTGCAGCAGCATTCCACTGGGAAGATACCTTCCATCTTCTCTTCCTATTTATACGCATGACTTCTTCTTTCATGAACTTGTGCTCTTTCTCCTCATTAAGTACTAAGTTACGTAAATACTGGGCATTTGCGGCCCCTGTGCTCTGAACGATCCTAGAGAAAACACTTCTTTCACTAAGCAGGAGGTTCTGTGGAGTATCATACTCAACAACCTAATATAAGCAAGTAGCAAACTTTTGACAGGAGGAAAAAAAGAAAGGGAAATAAGGAAAAAACAAGAACAGTGAAAGAACAAAAATTGTAAGCACATACCTGTCCAGCATCAAGCACTAGGATACGATTAGTATCAATTATGGTATTTAGACGGTGAGCAATAATGAGCATTGTGCATGCTTTGAATTCTTCTCGTATGGTTTTCTGAATAAGAGCATCAGTTCTAACATCAACAGCTGCTGTGGCTTCATCAAGAACAAGGATCTTTGACCTTCGCAGTATTGCTCGAGAAAGACTTAAAAGTTGTCTCTGTCCAACACTGAAATTTTCGCCACCTTCTGAAACCTTGATATAGCCCAAAACAACATTATGTTAGACCATAGCAACATTTTTTCAGGGGAAAAGGGTAAAAAATATCCCTCTACTATGCAAAAAGGATCATATATGTCCTCTGTTATACTTTCGACCCATTGTTACCCCCAACGTTATAAAATTGGTGCAAAAATACCCCTCATCCGTTAAGTCTCTCCTTCATGGCCAACACCATCCAATGTGGCCCGACATTTCAGTGATATAAACACAATGTGGCATGCCACATCACTGACTCAATCCTATTTTAACCCCCTCACCCATTTCTTCCACCACTACCTCCCCTTCACCCAACCACTCACAACACTAATCAATTTTTTTCCCCCCACAATAATTTTTATTGGAGATAGAGAAGTATAAGAATGTATCAAACTGTGTAAGATTACGAAACTAAAGATATAATGCATGAGTGTACAGGAAATAAAATCTCATTGTTCTCGAAAACAAAGATAATGCCTCAAGACATGATTGGTTTTGGATAGAATGCTTTTGCTCCAAGTATTCAGAAAAAAGGAAGCCCCGATGTTATAATCATTGTTTCTAGTTTCTTCTTTGTCAATTGGTGAAAGATATAACTTTTGTTTATTGATTTCTCTGAGGCCATCTTCAAACTTAACCATTTACGCAGGTTCTGAAACAGAGCAAAATTAAGGAAGAACAAGGTTACTAATGTATCAAATCTTGAGTACACCAAGTTTCTTCACTTCAATTTTACAAATACAAGAAGAGAACATTCCAATTAATTGAACCACAGTAGTATTTCCTTTGCTTGACTGCTGGATCATAGCTTTTCTAGTTCTACAATCAAAAAAGGTTAAAACTTGGACCAACATTTGTGCAAACCCACTGTCAAAATGAGCAAAATCAGATTTTTGTTCTGAAGACTTTAGCAACAAACTACCAAATTTTCACAAACCATAGAGTAGAATTACAAATAAAAATCAAGAACTATTAGTTTATAAGAACTAAAAAGAAGAACAAAAATTATCATGGAAAGAGGAGGAAGAATTAGACATCCATTGGCAACGGACCTCAGGCAGAGGTGATGTGGACGGTGGTGGTTAGGTGAAGGGGAGGTAGTGGTGGAAGAAGTGGGTAAGGGGGTTAAAATAAGATTGGGTCAGTGATGTGGCATGCCACATGGCGTTTACATCACTGAAATGTTAGGCCACGTCAGATGGTGTTGGCCATGGAGGAGGGACTTAACGGATGAGGGGTATTTTTGCACCAATTTTATAACGTTGGGGGTAATAATGGACCGAAAGTATAACGGAGGACATAGATGATCCTTTTTGTATAGTAGAGGGGTATTTTTGACCTTTTTCCCTTTTTTTAGTCACTCCTTCCATCTTAATATGTTATACCTTTTTTCACTCTGAAGCATCTTAAAAGTTTTGACATAGTCGTAGAAATTCTATCCACATTCAATAATTCAAATGCATTAAACTGAAATATAATCTACAGCGTGATGTTTTTCTACCAAACAAACTTGACCCAAACTTGCCTAGTTACCATAACATTTTCTTCTACAACTACATATGTAACACGTAAGTCAAATAAATTTCTTTATTCCCGTCTAACCAGATGGTGTCGTATATAATTGGATTAATGCACTTCCATAAACACGATCATTTTTCTACTAAATTTCTGACGAACAAAACTATGTGTTATTCCACCAGCTGAGCATATGATATGAGTTTGTTTGGATAAAATTATCCTTGTGAGAAACCAAATGCAGAGCAATCATCAGGTACCAGCATATTAAACTACCGGGGAAGAATTAACCAATTCATTTGCACCGTCATGATACAAATATGTTTTCATCGGTCATGAAGAAGTTCAATATTTTGCTTTTCTGTCATTTGATTTGCAAAGAGTCACATTAAGCATTCTGAACAACAACAACAGCTATGCCTCAGTTTCAAACAAGTTGAGACGACTAAATGAATTCTCAGTAACCATGTTTCACCATTTAAAATCATCTCAGGCCAAACCGTTTCTCCAACATTAAGCATTCTGAATAAGACAAATATTAGAACAATATACATTGATAAATAACATATAGAAACAAATACATACACGATAGTTCTACAAGTATACCTTACATATGTTCGTGCACGTCTCTGAATGTGTGTTTTTCATTCTTTTCAATCCAATGTGTGTTACTCTAAGTCACTACCTAATGTTGAATTATGGTATTTTAAGATAAACAAAATTCTTAGGTGGTGCCAAAAAAAGGGAAAAAGGAAAAAAATTCTTAGGTCGTCAAACTGGTCTTGAACATGAACGAATGATCATCTTGTCAGACATAAATCACAAATTACCATAACTTTCTGGCAAATGGTCCAAGACTTCTTTATCATCCTAAATTGCATTTCTGTCCGAACAACCTTTTTGAGAACAGAATGACCGTTGCTCCGCAATTCAAAGTTCTCCCATAGGCTAACCTCCCTCATAATTCTCGAAAGCAGCAATTCCTAGACCTACCGATACTTAAAACACTAACGACTTTAACTTGAAGCAGATTGAAAGGAGAAGAGCTCACCTCAGCATCCAGACCAAAAGCATTCCTCCTTATGACATCCTTCAAGTGTGCCCGCTCTAATGCCTCCCATAGGTCAGCATCATTGTGTTCGCTAAAAGGATCAAGGTTAAACCGTACAGTACCTAACGAAAATGAAAAACTGATAATGAGAACAACATGCATACCAGTAAATACATTTTATAGGGCTAATTTGTAATCCTGCAACAATAACTTCAGCAGGTATTTGAGTATTATACACACTTGGTCTGTGAACAAAATTTGGTATTATAGTTGCAGATTATAGCAAGGGTAAGCAAGATCAGGACCCATGTATGTTTACTTTTTCATGGTAGCTAAAGAAATGGGAATGAATGTAGAAGGAACGGAAAGAAGAGAAGAAAGAAAAGAAATGAAAGGAAACCTAAACTTGGAAACTAGAAAATTCAAAGGCTTACCTAGTCCCGGATAACAATATCACCCCTACCCCCCAGGATAGATTAATTCCCCAAAACCAGATAAAGGATCACTATCTGAATAATACTTTGTGCTACCAAATGCAGGATAAACCCAGATAAAATTATATGGTTAGGTGGGGGAAGACTTCATTTCATATGTGAATTTGTGCCTCAAAGCTTGGTTTTCAGGGAGAAGATTGCAACACACAAAAGTTTCACTTAACAAGGTATAGGTATCTGCATAAACCTATCCATATATGTATTAATTACCACAGCATGTGAATTTGTATGAAAAAGAACATCGGGTACACATTCATCAGCACAGCTAGCATAAACGCATATGATTGCTCATAAAATAATTCCAAATCGATTGACTAGACAAATTCAAAATTGATGTATGCATGCATCAATTAAAAGGGCTTATTAGATTCTTTTCAACTCGTGCCAATCGTGCGGTCCGGAAGAGTGAAGTAGTACCAGAAACAACTGAAGAGAGTTATGTACCAGAGAAAAGAACTGGTGATTGGGGTATGATACTAAGAGCACTTCGAAGATCTGTCAGTCCGATAGTAGCAACATCACAACCATCGATCAATATTCTCCCTCTTTCAAGTTCCACAATTCGAAATAAGGCATTAAGCATGCTCGATTTTCCAGCACCAGTTCTTCCAACAATGCCAACTTTCTGACCTGAGGAAATTGTAAATGACAAACCATGCAAGACTGGAGGAAGTCCAGGTCTGTAACGTAGGACAACATCTTCAAATTTGATGAACCCTGATGATGGCCAGCCTGGAGGAGGCCGGCTGCTAATGACATTTTGAGCCTCTGATGGCAAATCTATATATGTGCCAACACGCTCAACAGCATTAAAACTATTTTCAGCTCTACTTGCTTGTCTCAGAGTATTGCTGAGTAAAGTAGTAATATTTAAAGAATAACTTAGGAGCAGACCCATAGCACCAGCAACCGCAACCTTGTCGTCTGCTCTCCCATTCTGTATAACGGCAAATGTTGCAGTCAACCAGATCATTATGCCTCCTAGTGTTTCAAGCCTTATGGTCAGCCAGCGGTTTGTACTTGTGTTGGCAAGAGTGAATCTGACATTGTTGTCCATAGACTTCCCATTAGTGGCAGCTAACTGGTCATGTGCTTTATATGCACGGATGGTTGATAAACCATTTATAGCTTCTCCAAACTGTGCATACACAGGGGACCTGGTAATGGAATCTAGACGTTTCACTTCACGGGATGTATTCTGTGAAACATATATAATAGCATTGTATCATCTGATCCTCATTATATAATATTGTAAAACCAACAGTTGATAGATTATCATGGATGGTGCATATGATTGCGATGAATCTGGCTCTAATACCACGATAAGAAATGGAACTTGGGCCTAACTCAAACCTAAGAGTTTGCTCATGAGGTGAGGATTGCCCAAGACCATATAAGGAGCCTAAATGTGGGAAACTCAACAAAACATTACTCAAACAGGATGCCAGATATTTAAAAACTTAAGGAACTCATAGGAAGTGTTGCTTCTCTAAATGGTGGAACTTTCAGCCCTCTTTGGGTTTCTGAAAGTTCCAGAAAGTAAAACCAAAATGGAGGTCAAGACAAGCAGAGAAAACTATATGCAGAGGGAGAGAGAAAAATAAAGGGCAACTAAACATATGGAGTTTAGCAAACCTGATAATACAAATAGGCTGTATAAAATAGGACTAGAAGTGGCATTATGGCCCACAGAGATATTGTGCTGACGACTCCAATGAGAACAAAGGTTGAGAGAAGCTGCCACAGTTGGCTGAGACATGTATTAGCAATATTTGCAACATTGCGATCAATATCACCAAGATCCTTTGCAAATCTGTTGATTATGCGTCCAGATGGATTAGTGTGGAAGAATACCATTGGTGCTCGAAGTATAGAATGTAGCATGGAATCATGAAGCCTTTTAGCTGCATTTAGGCTTGAGATAATCAACCAGAAGGAATTGGCCAGTGTTACTATCACCTACACAAAGTGAATCCAGAATGAGCCTCGTTTAATTTTACATTCATGGACTTGGAGTTAAACACTCCTCTGAAGAAACATAATGAAATATTTACAAAAAATTTCTGTTATTTTCATCTTTAGTCTTCTTTTTTAACAGATACAGCTAATGTACTGTAGCTAATGGAGGAGCTCCCTGATACACAAATATATTGTTGGGCTTCATGCTTATTGAAAAAAATTCTGTAGCAGGAAAATTTCTCCTTTAGATAGGGCTAGGTGGCCATCTTTAGATGTTAAGGAATAGAGGGAAAAGAAAGTAGATGCAGCACAGCAACTTGAATAATTAAGGATGATCACCAATGATTGCAATTAATAAAGGTGGAAGTGCACTCACACCTGACTGAATGACAGAAAAGCATAGACCAAAATATAGAATCCAGATCCATTGCTCTTTGAGGAGCTTGCTTTTGTCCAGACACTTAGCCAGGTGCTACTCAGAGCTCGAAGGATTTCAGTCAATGTGTAGCAAGCAAACAGTATCAGGACAACCCACAAGCCTCCCAAAGCATCTTTATACCTGAAAAGGAAAATTGAAGAAACGCACATTTGAAACCATAAGCTAAGGGCTTCTATTAAACAAACATAGTTAAATAAGAATCTTTTCTTGAGCCTATGATGATGAATGAATCATCGAAGAGTTTATCCGTTACTCTTATATCATCTAAACAAGTGCAATATAAACTTTACACGGGTGACTTGGTGAAAACTTCCTTAAATCCATTATAAACATAGTCATGTTCGACTCTTTGTTCTAAGTAGAATGGTATTGTTCGAATTTTAGGTTACATATGGTTGCTATTTGAAAAAAAAGAAAAGGAATGTTGATATTTGTAAAAGAGAAAAGGAAAACGAACTGGTTTGCCAATGTTTGGCTCTAATGCCGCAAGAAAATATCTATGCATCCAACTCAAAATTTTAAGGCAATGTCTGGAGTAGCACAGTATTTGTATAAATCATTTTATGAACTTTTATTTAATCAATGTGGAACTATTGTCCTTGGCAGAGCATGAGGTTCCAATAAGGATGCAATTTGATTGTTCTTGTTAGTTTACAGATATGTACATAATGTAGTCTTGTCCCACATTGGAATAGGAGTAATATGTCCTTGTAGAGTATAGCTATAAATAAGGACCTCTTGTATTGTATTGAGTATCTAATATCAATAATATATTTTCTCCCGTGCTTTCTCACATGGTATCAGAGCAATCGTAAGAGATTTATCGCTGTGCATAAATTCCAGCGACTCCGGGAAGAGAAATCAGACACCGGAAGTCTTTTTCCGGCAACTTTTTTTTTCAAGGCTGTTTGCGTCTTCTTTGTCTCCGTCAGTGTTGCGCAAAATCCAACACTACCACAAGAGTCGTCATTTTTCGGCGACCAAACCCCAGTAAAAATCTCCGGCAGCAGCCTCCTCACGCGTACCCACGCGCCACCAGAAGCTCACGCGCTGGCGCGTACGACCACTTCCGACCATTTTTTGAAAAAAATCCTTCAAAACAGTTGGGTCGCCTAGTAATTCCGATCATACCCTTATTGTTTTCGTTTCATTCCAACCACTTTGAGTTTTTTCCGGCAGCTGCAGTAAGATTCCGACGACTACAATATTCCCTTATTTTGCTTAAGTGTTTCCTTACTCTGTTTAAGTGGATTACAGTTGATTCTTTCTCTTATTTGGTAATAATTTGCAACGATGTCTTTGGGATTTGATGTTTTTGGGTCTAGAAACATGAGTTCTGGAAGCTCTAGTGTTATGATTACCTCGGAACCTTTAATGGGAAGTTCAAACTACTTAGCTTGGGCTTCATCTGTCGAGTTGTGGTGTAAAGGTCAAGGTGTTCAAGATCATCTAATCAAACAGTCTAGCGAAGGAGATGAAAAGGCGATAACACTTTGGGCAAAGATCGATGCTCAGTTATGTAGCATCTTGTGGCGATCTATTGATTCCAAGTTGATGCCCTTGTTTCGTCCATTCCAGACATGTTATTTGGTTTGGGCAAAGGCTCGTACCTTATACACTAATGACATATCTCGCTTCTATGATGTGATATCGCGGATGACAAACTTAAAGAAGCAGGAATTAGATATGTCTACTTACTTGGGTCAAGTACAGGCAGTCATGGAAGAATTTGAGAAGTTGATGTCAGTTTCTGCTAGTGTTGAAAAACAACAAGAGCAGCAACAGAAGATGTTTCTAGTTCTTACCCTCGCTGGACTTCCTAATGATCTTGATTCAGTACGCGACCAGATTTTGGCTAGTCCGACTGTCCCCACAGTTGATGAATTATTCTCTCGATTACTCCGCCATGTGTGCACCAAGTCACCCAGTGATCTCATCACAGATACTTGATTCCTCTGTTCTTGCATCCCAGACAGTGGATGTTCGGGCATCTCAAACTATGGAGAATAGACGAGGATGAGGTCGTTTTGGAAGATCTAGACCCAAGTGTTCTTATTGTCACAAACTTGGACACACTCGTGAAATGTGCTATTCCTTACCTGGTCGTCCACCCAAAAATGTTTACATTGCTCAGACCGAGACTACAGGTAACTAGGGATTTTCTTTATCTAAGAAGAATATAATAAGCTCCTTCAGTATTGAGCAAGTAAGCAAACATCTCCACAAGTAGCTTCGGTTGCTTAGACTGATACTTCTGTTGCTGGTAATTCTTTTGCTTGTGTTTCCCAGTCTAGTACTCTTGGACCATGGGTCATGGACTCAGGCGCTTCTGATCACATATCTGGTAATATATCACTTTTGTCGAATATTGTATATTTACAGTCTCTTCCCACTGTTACTTTAGCCAATGGATGTCAAACTAAGGCAAAAGGAGTTGGACAAGCTAATCCCTTGTCTTCTATCACCCTAGATTCCGTTCTTTATGTCCCTGGCTGTCCTTTTAGTCTTGCATCTGTTAGTCGTTTGACTCGTGCCCTCCATTGTGGTATATATTTTATTGACGATTCTTTTATTATGCAGGACCGCAGTACGGGACAGACAATTGGTACAGGACGTGAATCAGAAGGCCTTTACTACCTTAACTCACTCAGTCCTTCCACAACATGTCTAGTTACAGATCCTCCAGACCTAATCCACAGACGTTTAGGACATCCGAGTTTATCCAAACTTCAGAAGATGGTGCCTAGTTTATCTAGTTTGTCTACATTAGATTGTGAGTCGTGTCAGCTTGGGAAATATACCCGAGCCTCCTTTCCGCGTAGTGTTGAGAGTCATGCAGAGTTTGTTTTCTCCTTAATTCGTTATGATATATGGGGTCCTAGTAGAGTCAGCTCAACCTTGGGATTTCGTTATTTTGTTAGTTTATTGATGATTATTCAAGATGTACTTGGTTTTTCTTAATGAAAGATTGTTCTGAGTTATTTTCTATATTCCAGAGTTTCTGTGCTGAAATCAAAAACCAATTTGGTGTTTCTATTCGCATTTTTCGCAGTGATAATGCCTTAGAATATTTATCTTCTCAGTTTCAGCAGTTTATAACTTCTCAAGGAATTATTCATCAGACATCTTGTCCTTATACCCCTCAGCAAAATGGGGTTGCAGAGAGAAAGAATAGGCACCTTATTGAGACTTCTCGCACACTTCTAATTGAATCTCGTGTTTCGTTGCGCTTTAGGGGCGATGCAGTTCTCACAGCTTGTTATTTGATTAATCGGATGCCTTCATCTCCCATCAAGGATCAGATTTCGCATTCAGTATTGTTTCCCCAGTCACCCTTATACTCTCTTCCACCTCGTATTTTCGGGAGCACGTGTTTTGTTCATAACTTAGCCCCTGGGAAAGATAAGTTAGCTCCTCATGTTCTCAAGTGTGTCTTCCTTGGTTATTCTCGTGTTCAGAAGGGATATCGATGTTATTCCCCTGATCTTCGTAGGTACATTATGTCAGCTGACGTCACATTTTTTGAGTCTAAACCTTTCTTTACCTCTGCTGACCACCATGATATATCTGAGGTCTTACCTATACCGACCTTTGAGGAGTTTACTATAGCTCCTCCTCCACCTTCGACCACAGAAGTTTCACCCATACCAACCATTGAGGAGTCTAGTGTTGTTCCTCCTAGATCCTCATCCACAGGAACACCACTCTTGACTTATCATCGTCGTCCACGCCCTACATCAGGCCCAACTGGTTCTCGTCCTGCACCTGACCCTGCTCCTACTTCGGACTTGTCTCTTCCTAGTACACTGATTGCACTTCGGAAAGGTATACGGACCACACTTAATCCTAATCCCCATTATGTCGGTTTAAGTTATTATCGTGTGTCATCTCCCCATTATGCTTTTATATCTTCTTTGTCCTCGGTTTCCATCCCTAAGTCTACAGGTGAAGCGTTGTCTCATCCAGGATGGCGACAGGCTATGAGTGACGAGATGTCTGCTTTACATACAAGTGGTACTTGGGAGCTTGTTCCTCTTCCTTCAGGTAAATCTACTATTGGTTGTCGTTGGGTTTATGCAGTCAAAGTTGGTCCCCATGGCCAGGTTGATCGACTTAAGGCCCCGTCTTGTTGTTAAAGGATATATTCAGATATTTGGGCTCGATTACAGTGATACCTTCTCTCCCGTGGCTAAAGTCGCATCAGTCCGCCTTTTTCTATCCATGGTTGTTGTTCGTCATTGGCCTCTCTATTAGCTGGACATTAAGAATGCCTTTCTTCACGGTGATCTTGAGGATGAGATTTATATTGAGCAACCACTTGGTTTTGTTGCTCATGGGGAGTCTCGTGACCTTGTATGTCGCTTGCGTCGGTCACTTTATGGTCTAAAGTAGTCTCCTCGAGCCTGGTTTGGTAAGTTCATCACGGTTATCCAGATGTTTGCCATGACTCGTAGTAAAGCTGATCACTCTGTGTTTTATCGGCAATCTGCTTCAAGTCTCTGTATTTATCTAATAGTCTATGTTGATGATATTGTTATTACTGGCAATGATCAGGATGGTATTACCAATCTGAAG